TCTCTATTGAAGCCTTCTTTTGGCTATAGTTTTAGTTATGAATTAGACAGTCGCAGCACTGGACAAGTCCAGTTTACTGACTCCAGAAGATAAGTTAGTGATAAAAATTTTTAGGTGCTTTTAAAATCATTACAAACTCGGATGTTTAGTGGTTGGATAATTATAAAATAAAGAACGCGTATAAAAATGCAGGAGAACAATATAATCTTAGTTCTGTTCTATTTTTGTAATGGATGATTGCATGCAATAAAGCCGTGAATTCTAGATAAATATAATTATAGAAGTCCGTCAATAGCCGGATAGAATTGGTAACGTTACCGGACATGGGTTAGAAACCCGGACAAAATCGCCTCCGGTTATATACTCTGGAACTAGTTTGTGCTTAAAAAACCGGACACATGAATAAATGAACGAGGATACCGGACGAGGATCCAGCCAGGTCAAGATTTTTTTAAAATTTTTTTTGCAATTCAGTAAAAAAAATAATTAAAGTCCGGATAAGTGAAAGTATATATATATAAGCATAGCCGTTGTTTACCAGAATTTGCTTGCAGGTCTGGAGTTCAGTTCTCAAGTCACTGGCGTATGTACGTACAGGTTGTAAATGCTCTGTGTATTAAGGCGCGAATAATGCTGGTGCTGTATCTCTGTGGACATACACTTGCTTCGTTCAGAACTCTTCCGACGTCAGTAGGTTTTCGGTAAACTTTAGTGACGATCATTTTATCGTCTACTTGTACGAGTATATCGAAGAAGGGCAATGACCGATTTAGCCCAAATTCGCAGGTGAACGTCAAAACTGAATTGAGTTCTAAGGCCACGCGTAGCTCAGTCATGTGATCCTCATCTCGAACAACGACAAAAATATCGTCGACGTATCTACAGTAGAGCTCAGGTCTGACTTTTGCGTCCGAAAATACTCGGTTCTCTAGTTCGCACATGTAGAATTCAGCAAAGGTTGGACCCAGAGGGCTGCCCATGGCAACACCGTTGACTTGATGATAAATTTTTTCTCAGGGGTCCGGAAAGGCGATTCTGAAGTACCGATGCGGAAGAGATCATGCAATTAGGACCTCTTTAGGGGATTAATGGAGCCGGTAAGTTTTCGTTTGAATAAACATGGTTAGCAATTATTTCCAAAGTTTCTTCTGTAGGAACGTTGGTAAAGAGGTTGGTGACGTCAAGAGAAGCTAGCATACCCGATAGGCTCCGGCCGCGAATAATTTCTAAGAAATCGCCTCTAGATTTAAGTGAAAATTTCTTCGGGATGTATGGTTTTATTAGAACATCCAACTCTTGGGCTATCCTGTGGATTGGAGTTGTAATTTGAGAAATTATGGGTCTGAGCGGGTTGTTCTCTTTATTTTTTTTAACGTTGCCGTAGAGGTAACCCGGAGAATAACTGCCGACGATCGGGGTAAAATTTCTTGATCCATTAAGTGAGTTAGCAGTATTCATTAATTTGTTGGCTCTTCTCTGAATTTGCTCTGTTGGGTCTCGTCCGAGGCGACGGAATTTAGACTCATCTGAAACGATCTCATTTATTTTTGAATCGTACTCGGTTTTGTCTAAAATAACAAAGATATTGCTTTTATCCGCTTTTCTTATGGCAATTTGGTCGTTCTCTCGGAGTTGCTTTGCTGCTTGGCGTAGAGCTGGGGTTAGGATTTTTGAGGTCGAAGATCGAAGAGCCTCGGTGTTTGCTGGCTTCGGCTCTTAATAAGTCTTTGAGGTCGGGATTGATGTTTATTTTACCATCGTTCTTTAGTTTCAACAGAGAGTCATAAAGTAACTCGAGTTCAATTTGCTTCTTGGTTTTGCTAAACTTAGATATTACGTGACAGTTTAGCCCCAGGTTTAGAAGTTCTTTTTGATCCTTGCTCAGTGTGTGGGAGGAGAGGTTGATATATCCATCAGTAGAATGCGGAAGACATATATCCCCTCGGTACAGGCGATTTAGTTTACGAAGAGTCCTGAGTTTCACGCTGTTGTCGTAGGTATCCTGAAGCCTGCTCAGTTCATCGGTGATCTGGAGATGAAGTTGAGGGCTTGGGATGTATTCGGTTAGACGAAGGTAGTTCTCGGTGTTTTCAAGCTTCAATTGTTCCAGTTCATGGCGAAAAATTTTAATTTGCCTCTCAATCAGTTGGAATCTGTATCTCACGGTCATTGATTCCTCTCCCGCTGCCGGGTCTTGGTTTCGAACATTTGTGTATAGTTTGGCAGAAGCTGTTCCTTGATGCAGGTTTCATTGAAGGCCAGAGAGTATTTCTTATTGTCAATTTTCTTATTATTTTTCTCTATTCGGCGAATTAGGCTCGTGATAGGAGCTGAAAAGTCAAATATCAGATTTCCAAGGGACATTTTATTATAATTTTACGACGTTTCGAATGCAACTTTATTCTTTATCAAGTAGAGGAAGAGTTTTGCAACACCTGAATTTAAAATTTTGAAATGACAGTACAAATATAGGTATTATGGATACAGAATGGAATAAAAGCTTGAATTACGAGAACAGTTTCAACGTCCTGACAAATCCGGTAGTTTGTAAATTAATAGCTGGAGATTCATGCTTGATGATGAGAGCCTCAGCTATGGCCAGTCTCGTGGCGTCTGGGCATCTCATGATGATTCTGGTGTGGGTCTCCAACGTCGCGCAGGTGAGGGTCTCATTATGAGCCTCTCTCATGTGGTTCTTCGGTCCTCCGGTCTGGAGGTGGCATGTTAGGCGGCGGCTCAAAGTCGTGCTGGTCAAACCAATGTAATTTACGTTCTGAAGAAGTCTACAACCTTCTTTGTGGCAGGCATATTTGTAAATAACATTAGTTTCGTGTAATGGGCCCGACTTTTTGCATGGACGATTTTTCATTGATAAATTCTTGAGTTTCATGTTTTTATATTAAATCAGGAGTTTGATTTGGTCGGCTGCGGCTGTGCTTCTGATGTTATTCAGCACAATTGATTTGAGGACTCTATCGTCAGTCTTGTGGCCTTCAGTCATCTGATTTTGGTAATAAATTGTTATAATACTTTCGTTTGATGTTTGTTCATTGTCCGTTTGGTTTGAAATTTGCTCGATAGTTTGAAATTTCGCTGTCGATAGTTTTATTCTAATAGCCGTTGTTTACCAGAATTTGCTTGCAGGTCTGGAGTTCAGTTCTTAAGTCACTGGTCGATGTACAGGTTTTAAATGTTCTGTGTATTAAGGCGCGAAAAGTGCTGGATTTAAAGAGCATTTAAAACCTGTACATCCGCCAGCTTTTTTATGTCATCATCGAATTAAGCACACTGTATTTTCTCCTAATGATAGAATTTTTCTTTTATTATCGAGACCAGCAACTCTTTGATAATAAAATACACAGCAAATGAATGAAGACTTGAACGATTTACGATTGAACGATTTAAAAAAAATTCCATTAGTAGCGTGTATGCATAGGAGTAGTTAGAAAAAGTTTAGCAAAAAGGATACTGACTTGTTCATAATTCAAGTCCTTAGCATGCTCCTATTCGGGGACTATCCAAAGCCACTGCGTTGGCTCAATTTCAATGCATATTCTTTTCTACGTTTTCATTGATCGAAAGTGGATGGCACACTTAAAAAGAGTGTAGTCAAAACTTGATGAAGAATCACCTGCTAAAATACTTCATTCTACTGAACTATGAGTTATCCGGTAAAATCCACCTGCCCCTGAAAGGGTTAGGCTCGAGTCCCACGAATCAAGCTGCGCAGAACAGACCTGACAGTGCGCGACGTCTTCCCCAGTGCGACACACTCTAGCGTGAATTTATCCTGAACACAAGTATTGGTCTCATAATTCCTTATTTATCTTCAAGTCAGTTTGTATTGGTGAAAAATTTCTGCCCAGAAAAAAATGGGCTCCCCCTAGGCAATGTTATTAGTGTGTTTATATTTGTGTTAATTTTCACCTTTGGTGGACATTTTTTTCGGTGAATGGATGAGAGCGCAAATCACGAGATGTTGAAAAAAAGATTGTTCAACGCCAAGGGTTATTTTTACTTGTTCAGTATCATTGCTGCTCTTCATTATCAACTGCTGAGAATAAATGACAGTTTCTTCATAGTATATTATTGATATTAAGTAGTGCTGTGTATGCGGTGTCTCGTTGAAAAAGGTTGGAATTTAAACCATTATAGAGGTTAAATAAACGTTGTCATGTATACATGGAAAGCTTGTTTATAAGATATTTTAACCAGAAACGTAAGAGAAAGGAAACTGCCGAGCAAATTAATCACAATTTGAATGAAAACATTTCGGTAGATTCCTTATAGATATAAAAATTATACAAGCACACAATTAACGGCTCGAGAGGACAAAGAATGGGCGGTAAGTGTTACACTTCTGCACAAAAACTTTAGACTTTCTGCTTGTTAAGATTATGTGCTTGGAAGACATAGCTAACTTTTAAGCATTAATTCTAGAAATGAGCATTAGCTCTGGAATTGTGAGTTTGAGTAGCTACTAACGCTCTCGCCCACTCCATCTTTAATGAGCGATGGAAGGCTTCACATGAATTAATTACCTTCTAATCTTTGAATACGACGGATTATCAATTCGTTTTGCGATTAAGTGCTGTTTTCATAAAATTATTATCAAAAATGTGCATCGAAAATGTTCATTCTTCCGCATGAAATGTAATGTTTGGAGTGAAATGCGAAATCTTGACGTGAAATACGAAATACGAAATCGAATCCTTCATACATTAACCATGTCTGCATCAACTGTGTCTGCGGTAACCATGTTTGTAGTTATCTAATTCAGCCATTGCCTTTATAAAGCTTGTTGGAGTAATCACTTCACTTTTTTTTAATAATACAATAAGCATGTTGTTGTTACATATGCTCGATGCCTTCAGTAGTATGTATATACAGGTTTATAGTTGAACACAATTCCTTAACAGTTTATATTTCTTACTTTGCTCTCGGCTGAACAAGGCTAACGCAATTTACTAATGTATAAGTTAAAAAGATAAAAATACATATTTTATGATGAAAGTTTAATAAATAAATTTACAAGTCTCAATTATATTACATTGCATAATGCAAAATAACACGAATAGAACCTTTAAAAATATGGCTTATTCATATACTACAAGTCATCTTAGTACAAAACACGAACGGTTTGCTATAGGTAAGTCTCTTTATAAGAGAAACCAACAATGAGCACTTCAAAACAACCACTTCAAAACCTATTAAGCATGAAGCGTTTCCTTTGAGGACATCACACATTTAAGAGCCGATATCCTATTGCTTTTTACTACCTACTAGAAATGCAGCCTTTTCAACTCTTCCCACCTCCGTAACGACCAACATAATGGCCCCAATCACCGAGCACTGTGGCCACCATGTTTTATTTCCTAGATGCTCTTGTTTAAGTTTTACTCGTAGCAACTCGGATATGGCCGATGCCTGCGCCTGAAAGCTTGGGAACGCAGAGCTGCTGCTTCAGGAAAGGCTTCAGCGTACGCTAGGGGAGAAGCATAAGGGTTGGGTTCAGGGTAGGCAAAAGCAGACGGTCCAGGTGCTGCTTCGGGGTAGGCTTCAGCGTACGCTTCAGGGTAGGCTTCAGCGTACGCTTCAGGGTATGCTTCAGCGTATGCTTCGGGGTAGGCTTCAGCGAGCGCAAAAGCTTCAGGCTGTGGCTCGGCTTTGGGCGCTGGAAGGGCAATGCATGCTGCACTGAAGGCTAACAGAAGAAGTACCTGTGACATTCAAGATTGTTATAATATCGTGCATCTCACGAGAGCAAATATTACAGAATTGAGTCAGAGAAAATGACAGTTTATTCCCAAAAATGCAGGTAACTACGTAAGGCATGTTTCTATTACGAATGAATTGGGAGATACTATGATAAAACATCAATTGATTCACAATTTGGAATCTAAATTCAGCAATAATTATACGAAGGACATCTGATTTGGGTTGTTATATATTAATAATAAATTGAATTTTTTTATCCAACACCGAGGCAGGTAAACGAACCAAGTAAGAATTCATGCTGACGGCCAATTTTCGCTGACGATGTATTCTCCTACGAAGAAGCAGCGAGTGCATCCAATACAAGAGACGACTTGATGACATCTGATGATCCAACCCTTGGTAAGCTTCCTTATATAGCTTTCCTTCGAACAGGCTTAAACGTTTTGTTATAAAGCATCCAGGATACAACGAAGCAGATTCTTATCACATTCTTACAGTTTCCAAGCGTTAAGGCCTCAATCTTGCGCGGTTTGAAGTGAGGTGAAAAAACATACTGTAGAGGAAGACACGTGTGTTTTTGCCAGCTCTTCCGTGTAGAAAATAAATTAAAAATTTTAAACAGATTTTCATCACTTGAATTTATCGAGATTACATTTTATTTTAACCTAAAAATTTTGGTATAGGAATAATCAGATCACCTTCACACAGCAGTTCACCTTCACACAGATCAGCAGTTGATTCTTTGGCGATGGGTTGGCTGAATTAAATCTTGTTTGCAAAGTTTTTCATGAGTACTTGAGTATGAGTGGGAATTTGGCTATAAAGTACTGGGCTACTCTTCAACGCTGGCGAATAAAAAAATAATAGTTACTGAATCTAATAAAATTAGGTTCAATTTGAAGATGCATTAGAGTAAGTAAAAAAATCAACACCCATGCACACGTATGTCATGCCATCTGCACTAGACGTAAATGGCAACCAGCTCATCGACCTCACGAGACTAACAGTTCATTTCACTTTTATTTGCGCCTCCAGGATTTCTTCCTCCAAGTGTGATCAACTGTTTATTTTCATATGGAAAGGACCAGTAGGTTTTGTTATCCCCCAGCACAGCCACCAGGGTACCTTCCCCTGAGAAGTCCCTCCAGCTATTCGACCTCCAAATGTTATAGTAACAAAACAAATAAGGAACCAAAATCGGACGACTTGTTTATCGTCTGTAATATAGAGCCACGTGCTTACAGTCTCCTTGAATGAAACCCCTTCGTTTTCATTCCCTTCTAAGAACACCAACCTGTCATCCTATAAACGGGACCGCTATAGGCTGTTGCCTTCAAATGGGACCACCAGGTTATCGTAACTCATGTGAGGCCGC